TGTCTCAAAGCACAAACACCAAGAGACGAGCAGAATGTAAAAGATTTTATTCTTGATAATAAAGTAAATAATTCTGGAAAATCTCTTTTTCTTACAATCACAATTTCTTAAATTGTTTAAAATCCAATAAGGTCAAATATTTGCGAAAGCTAACGACTTATTTTTCTGTTACCTACATTGATGACATTGATTTCTATCTCGTAGAGATAAAGACCATCGACTTCCACTTCCAGTCCAACAACACAGCCCATCACAGCGCTGAGATCTCAACCAAGCAGCTGATTGTGAGGCGGGGCCAGTCCTTCCTGCTGACGCTGACCATGATGCAACCTTTCAACGCCAGTGACCCGCTCGTCCTCACCGTGGAGACGGGTACGTCTCGTCCACCACGGACTCTCAGTGTCTCTAACAGTGGATCATTCAAATAGAATGAACATTATAAATAAAGATGGACGACACGATGGCCCTGATAGTTGAAGCCAAATCATCTCGATCGCCCCCTGGTGTCTGGCTGCAGTATAGCTCATTAACCACCTCCATGTTAGCAGATGGGACATGGACCAAACTAAAAAAATCAAAGTAGACGTTAAACAAATGTAATTTCGGGTTCATCTCATCTCACTGAGTGTTTCTGATCATTTTGGATTGAATTAGTTAATTGATGAAATAAAAACACGTCGTGATCGATCGTTGGGACGTTGATAAAGTACCAAGATTGAATTTTTGCTTAGCGTTTGATTTTGACCTCACGTCAGAAAGAAATGAAGAAAATCTGAGGTTTGACTTCAGTTTGACGAGAACACGTGAAATGAGTCATCCATGTGTCTCCTCCCTCACCCCGTCTCCACCTCAGGTTCTCATCCATCAGAGGAGCGCGGTACTCGCTCCAGGTTTGGGAACCCATCGCCCATGTACTCCAGAGACGTCAAGGCCATATGGAAGTACAGTATCGATGGGAGCGCCAACCTGCCGCGGGGCATCGTGACGCTGTCTGTGACTCCGCCTGCTGACGCTCCTGTAGGGAAGTACTCGCTGTCTGCACAGACCGAGATGAAAAGCGTCGCACTGGGAACCTTGGTGGTGCTCTTCAACCCCTGGTGCTCAGGTGATGAGACCAGAGTCACAAAGACGATTCATGAAACAACTAAATGCATCCACGTCGAGGTCGTCTCCACAAATCTGAGTTACACTCAAAACCAGTCTGCTCTCATGAGAAACCAAACTAATAATATATCGTGTTAAATGACAACTACTGTTTCAAACCTAATAATAAAGTTGGTTAGACGATTATCAGCTGTAACAAAAAATAGGACATTCAGTTATTATTCCTATAAACGAGTGTGAGGTATATAAACAAGTTATTTCCAGACATGATTCTTTTATCACTTCCTGTGTCCGTGTTTTCTTTCAGTTTGCGTCTTTGTGGGTCGACCACATTTTCAATGAGGTGTAATTATGTTTGGTTCTTTACAGGTCGGTTGAAGATCTTAAATTCCACAACCTAAAAACATAACTTATGTATGAAGCTTTTAGAAGCTAGTGTGACATTGTGCTGCATGATTTAATTTGCAGATGACTGGGTTTATCTTCCTGATGAAAAAGAAAGAGAAGAATATGTGATGAACGAACAAGGAATCATCTACGTAGGAACGGCAGATTGGCCGATGCCAAGGGACTGGATCTTCGGACAGGTGAGCAACAAACCTGCCGAACATGTTGTTTACTTTGAACAATGAATGTCCTGAGTATCCAGGGTTCCCCTCAGCTTCAGCTTTACTCCCCCTGGAGGCCAAAGACTTGGACACTGCTCTGCATGTCAAGAAAAACATTGTTTATGGTGTGGAGCTGTCATGTCGGCCATCTTTATATAAATTCTATTGTGTACACAAACATCGACTTCAAAATCAGAATTAGACAGAGGAAACTAAAACCAGGATCATGCACCTGAACCTGCTCGGGCCTGAACCGCATCAGCTCTGATCTGTATCTTCTTCCCCAGTTTGAGGAGGACATGGTGGACATTTGTTTCAAGTTGCTGGACGTCAACCCAAAGCACACGAAAGACCCAGCCGATGACGTCTCTGCTCGCTGTAACCCCATCTACGTTAGCCGTGTGATCAGCGCCATGGTAGCACCAGTTTTTTGTTTTTACGATGATGAAGTGTGATTTCCTTTCTGTTTCATTTCATCCATTTACCACAATTTCTTTTTACAGAAAACAATGGAGTGCTTTTAATTGTGGCAGTCTCGACATTTGCTTAAAGAACAGTTACTTTGCATTAATCGCAGTATTTGATCGAACCTCTAGATCAACTGTAACGATGGTGATCGTGGAGTGTTGATGGGAAAGTGGGGTGAAGATTATAATGATGGAGAAAGGCCCAACTCCTGGCTCGGCAGCGTCCGCATCCTTCGGAAGTGGTACAAAGCAAACTGTCACCACGTCAAGTACGGACAGTGCTGGGTGTTCGCTGGTGTGATGTGCACAGGTACCGTATGAGGTGTGACGTGCACAGGTACCGTACTGTTTGACGTCATCATTAACTTGGAGGTTTAATTTTATTGTTTGTTTCCAGTGATGCGGTTCCTTGGCATCCCCTGCCGCGTGGTCACCAACTTCGAGTCGGCTCACGACAAAAACAATAATCTCACTATCGATAAGTTTTATGACGTACAAGGAGCACAGTCTGAGGAGTCCGACAGCGTCTGGTAAGAGAAGCAGTTCAGACAGATGATACCCGAGGAAACTGCCAGAGTTCTCTTCTGTTTTGTTGTTTTTTTGAATCACTCATAAAAACAGTATCAGATCAACAGTAGAAGCAGGAAACAGTAACTAATTGCAACCAATCAGACGACCAGAAAAAACAACACGGACCATAACATTCCACCCGACCAACTCTTCTGTGTCATGGCAGGAACTTCCATGTGTGGGTGGAGGGATGGATGAAGCGACCAGACCTCAAGAAAGGTGACATCTATGACGGTTGGCAGGTCTTGGATCCAACACCACAGGAATTGAGTGACGGTGAACAGTTGCCAAAACAAACTTTCATTAAAGTGTCTCGCTGGGTTCAGTCGCAGGCTCAGGCTGGTTTTCAGAAGTCAAGCTTTGTTTTTCCTCACCACAGGACGACACTGCTGCGGTCCAGCCCCGGTCAACGCCATCCTCCGAGGTGAAACTAACCTCAAGTACGATGTGCCGTTTGTCTTTGCTGAGGTCAACGCTGACATTGTCAAATGGATGGTCCGTAGCAAAGCTCAATATTCACCAATAAGACAAAACAATATGCTCCTTTATTTATCTTCCTCACGACTCAGAATAAAAGACAAGCTCCTTTGTTCTGTTCTCTTCTCAGGTCAATGCTAATGGTTCTAAGTGGAAGATGCACTCCGACACCACGCAAGTGGGTCAGAACATCTCAACCAAAGCTGTTGGCTACAGCTTGAGAACTGATCTCACAAATGTCTACAAACACAGAGAAGGTCAGTTTCTCACAGTACAACCTGACAGAAGAACATCACGCGAAACACGTCAGACAGTCGGGAGATGTTCTCTTCTTGAGACATTCAGCACAAATTCATCTCCACAGAACTAGAATCTTAAATTCCCACTTTACAAATATTGCAAAAAGCTAAAAACACAGGAATGATATGAGTTCCCCCGAGCAGCATCCTAGCAACTGCCCCATGATCACTATTTCTATCAATCATCCAAGGTAAACATTTGACAGCCAATGACTTATTCCCTAAATCAACTTCTTCCTGTAAACAGTTTGATGGTTCCGTGATTTAGAAAAGGGAGAACTGTTGCTAACCCACGTAATTCAAAAAAACAAGCAGTAGTTACTAGTGATCAAGAGCCCCGACGTTAATTAAAGGTGTTCCACAAAGCTCTATCCTTGGTCCTCTTCTCTTCACTCGAGACAATACATCACAATGAAACACGTGAAGCAGCAGCTTGATTAAAGTGAGTGTGAAGGTGGAGAACGTTTCCTCCTTCGCTCCCTGAGCATCTGTTCTCTCTCTCTGCTGAGTGGGTTCATCTCCTGAGAGAACAAGTGACTGAGAGTCTCCATCAGCTGAAGAGTGAAGCTGAACTGAGATCAGTTCTTAACAAGCAGAGTTTATCTCCAATGTTCAGCAGAAACTTTAAAACATGAAGAATCTGAGCAGTTTGTTGCAGCAGCAGCTCCTCTGGGTCAGGAAGCAGAGGATCACCATCAGCTCCAGACGGTTTCATTGAACATTTCTGTCTCGTTTCTTTACCCTGTGACATGTTCTGCTTTGTCCCG